CTCCCCCTCCTGGGAAGAGACCCACACTTGGCCAGTTCACGCCCTTCACGCTGGGTCGGGGGCACCGCTTGGCCCCTCTGGCCTGTTGGGAGATGACCCTGGGGGGCCGCCCCGAGGGCTGCTGCTCCCTCTCTGGGTGGCCCTCCAATGGGGCAATGGGCAGGCCCCAGCGCCGAGCACCCCAGTGCCAACCCCCACCCGGCAGCTTCTGCAAAGGGGCCTGGACTAACGTGCCGCCCCTCCATGCTGGGCGAGGTTTGAGAGCTGCCCACTCGGCCCTTTTCTTGCGTGGAGGTTCCGCTTTTCCTTCCCAGGGCAAAGCTGGTTTCCTGGGGGGTTTCCGGCGGGACCTGTACAAGGCGGGCAGGGCTCTGGGGGGGAGCGGGGCGCGTAGTTGCCCCCAGGCACGCAATGGGCGCCTTCCTTGCGCAGGTCTGCCCGTGCCCATCTCCCCACGGCTTGCCCCCAAAGAGAAATGAACCCCCCCCCGGCATTGCCTGGGAAAGGCCCATGGGACCCCGGTAGTCCCCGACTTCCGACCACAATGGAGCCCCCCAGTTTTGCCCCATTTTAGGACTTTCCTTGCCATTCAGTGAATCAATGAAGTCGGATTCTAATGTCAGTCACATGGCCGTTAAGTGAATCTGGCTCCCCCCCCATTCACTTTCCTCATCAGGAGGTCACAGAAGGGGATCATGTGACCCCTGAACACCGTCATAAACATGAGACAGTTCTCCAGGGCTGCATTTCCATGCTGTGACCATGGGAAGGCTGCACCGGTTGCGTGGAGAACGGTCAAAAGTCACATTTTTCAATCCCATTGTAACTTTGAACGGTCACTAAGTATTAAATCACTATACAATTTAGTCCATTATTTAAAAACGGTCAATGAATCAATCAGAATGGAGCTGGAAGGGGCCTTGAAGGTCCTCTAGTCCAACCCACTGCTCAAGCAGGAGACCCTACACCACTTCAGACAAGTGGGCTGTCCAGTCTCTTCTTAAAGACCACCACAACTTCTGGTGGCAAGTGGTCCCACTGGTTAATCGTCCTCACTTGTCCGGGAGTCTCTCCCTAATCCCATTGCTTCTCTCCTCCTTTAATTTCCATCCATTCTTTCTTGTCCTTCCCTAGAATGCAGGATGGCAGGTGGACTCAGCCTTCCATTCTTCCGAGGTTGTAAAGTGAGGACCCAGATTGTTGGGGAAAGAGGCCAACACTGTAAAAAGCCCAGAGAGTGCCGTAAAGCAGGGCTCTCCAACCTTGGCCCCTTTAAGCCAGGAGGACTTCAACTCCCAGAATTCCCCAGGCAGCACAGCTGGGAGTAAAGCCATGAGACGCTAGGAAGCAGCATACAAGTCTAAGCGCTGCTGCTAGTGCTAGACGACAGAGAGCCGCTCAAAAGGCCCCGCAGGGAAAGAGCCCTTCGAGGGAGGCCAGGTTTCCTCTACCACAGGTATAACAGAACCTCCGAAGGCTCCTCCCCTCCCTCCTGTCTCCCGAGGCCAGGCGGGCTCAATTCCTCCCCTTTTTTCCAACTACGCACCCAACACGGAGCCCCCCCACCCCCCCGCAAAGTTTAAAGGTCTGGCCTCAGGGCAATGTAAAATAAAATAAATACAATATATAAAATCAAACCCTCCTCCTCCTCCTCCTCCTCCTCCCCCAGCAGCCGGGAATCCAGCCAAGGCAGAGGAGGAAGAGAAGCGGCTTCCTCCTCGTCTGAACTTCGAAGGGAAGGGCGGGATTCCAGGTTCCTGGTTCCTTGTGCACAATCCCACCGCCAAAGCCATGCCAATTTAATTCAGGCATTGGCCCCAAGAGAGATCATCCGTGGCCCTGGGCTATTATTATTATTATTATTATTATTGGCTTATTATTATTAATGGCTTATTATTCAGAAGGCTTGGGATGGATCTTGGAGGTCATCTAGTCCGACCCCCTGCTTAGTGTGGGGCTCCACGGTTGCTGCCTCCACTTAAAACGCTTCATTAAAAGAACGGGGGGGGGGGGGGGGAAAAAGCCCCGCAAAACCCAGACTTCCCGGGGGGGGGGGTGTCCTTTGACCTTCTTCTCCCAAAGAAGCTTCTTGGGTGAGAAGCGAAGGGATTTCAACGAACAAACCAAGGAAGTCGAGTTGCCTCTAGAAAAAGCACCCCGGGACAACCGTGGCCTGGAGGAGGGAGACCCCCCCCCACCAGATGGAGTCCAAGAACGTCTCCTTCCCCCCAATCTGAACTTCCTTCCCCTCCTTGTCTTCCAGAGTCTTGTCTTCCAGAGCGAGGGGGAAAGATGCATCCTGCCCTGCCCCCCCCACACCGTCCCGGAGAGTTAGAGGGGAGCCCCCTCCCTCTCTTACCAGGGGCTCCTCCTCCTCCCGAGTGGGAGGGGGCTCCATTCCTGGAGCGGCCTGCAAGTGCCAAGGATTCTCTCAGGGGGTGGGGGCACTTCCCCGGGGGGGGCCGCTGCCTTCCTTCTTCCTGAAATTTTACTCTTACATTTAAAACCACCTCTGCCTGTCAGAACTGGGCCCGGCCAGGAGCCCCTTGCGAGAGGATGACCAAGAACCCTTGATTAACCTGTCGAAGGACAAAGGACGCCTCTTGTGTCTCAGGATACGACCACGACGTAAGGAAGAGATCCGTTTGGCTCAGCCAGGCAGAGGGGAGAATCCCGCTTGGAAGGAAGGGGCCCCCGCCCTCTCCAAAGGGCCACAGCGGACGAGGCCTTTTCTTCTCCCCACCCGGAGGCTCCCAGGACAGGCAGGCCTCCCTACTGGCCAGCCTCCCTGCCAGAAAAATCTGCCCCCAAGGGATCCTCTGGGACTACAACCTCCAGCACCCACGGAAGCCTTCGAGGTGGCAAAGAAGGCAATGGGGGGGGGAGGAGAGTCTGGGGCTGCTGCTCCCAAAGGTGCTTTTCCTTTCCCTGAAGAAGCGTCTTGGGTGAGAAGGGAAATGCCTTCAAAGAAAAATCAAGGAAGCCCAGTTGCCTCTTGAATGAAAAGCTCCTTGGGGACAACCGTGGCCTGGAGGGTGGCTGGGAACCTCCACACACACATCGAGCTATGCGCTTGGGTCAGGCTTCTGGACAGGTAAAAGCAATGAGGCCCCCAGTCTGCCAAGCGCCAGGAACCCACCCCCCACCCTGCCGCCTCTGCAAGCAGTGGGGCAGGGAAGGAAGAGAGCCAGCCCCCTCGACCCCACTGCCTAGCAAGCTGGGTTGGCAGCTCCCCCTCCCCAAGAGACAAGCGCCCCCCCACACCAACATGAGAACAAGAGAGGAGGAGGAGGAGCCCCTCACTGCGTGATGTGATCTCTTCCAGGTGAGGCACCAGGTGGGGTGAAGCTCAGGAAGGGACACCTGAAGGCTTCCTTCCCACAGGACCCCTGAAGTCCCCCCCCCAGCTGAGCTCAAAGGGTCCTGGAGGGGTCATTTCCAGGAGAAACCAGGCAGGGGGCACCCCCGGAAGCCCCCCCCCCCCCCAGGCAATTGGGCTGAAGGCCTAGACGTTTTCGTGCTAGAGAACGAGCCCCTCAGAACAGGGGTCTCCAACCTTGGCCACTTGTGGACTTCAACTCCCAGAATTCCTCAGCCAGCGACCCCTGCCCCAGAGCCGCCCCCCCCCCTTTTCAGCCTCCGAAAGAAGGCCAGGCTTCCAATTCTCCCCAGGCTCTCCGGGTCCCATGCAAAGGGCTCCAGTGGCAGGGCAGACTGTGGGTGCCAGCTGCATCCCTTCCCCTGGCCGTGCCCGTCTCAGGCTGCGAAGGCAGGCCCTCCCCCTGACCCTCCGACCCTCCAGGTGGGGGTGGGGGGCTGGTCAGGGCAACCCCGGGGAGACCCAGACCCTGAAGGAGTGGGGGGAGCAGGAGGCATTTTCAAGCGCTGCCCGCTTTTAATACAGGCAATCAGCAGGATGCCTGACGGGCACCTCATGCAGAGAGATTACGACCCGCCGAAACAGCCGGTTCTTTTGGCGGCCTTTTTTTGCAGGTCAGAGCCGCCGCCCGCCCCCTTCGCTTCGCTTCGCTTCTCCCCCGCCCGGAATCGGCTTCTCAGCCGGGGCCCCCCCCCCCCCCCCCAGCAAATTCTGGCTCAGCTGAGCCGAAGCGGCTTCCCCGCAGCCTGGCACCCCCCAAGGGGCCACCTTTCCCCGGACAGGCTCCAGCCCACACCCGGGGAGGGCAGGTCTCCCAGGCGGAAAGCCTTCACCGCCAGGCTGGGAGTCCGGAGGGGATGAGGGAGCAGCGCGCCCCCCGCCCCAAACACCCCAGGCAGATGCCCGCCTGTTGGCCCGCCTGGGCCCCCCGGGCTGGGCTGCTGCTGAACCCCCCACCCCACCCCACCCCGCGGCTCTTCAGCGGCTGCCCCACCGAAAGCGGCTCCCTCGAGGCCCCCCCGCCCTCCGGGACCCCCCCCCAGCTGACTTCAGCCCCCCCGCGCCCCCCCAGCCCCGGCGGAGAACCCGCGCGCCTCGCCCCAGGCAGGAGAGACGAAGGAAAGGCGGCGACCCCGCCCCTTCCCGGAGCGCCCCGGCCGGACTCACCGCGGACGCAGAGCAGGGACATGGCGCCGCCCGGCGGGGCCGAGGAGGGCCGGTGCCGCCCGCTGCTTCCTCCCGGCCGCACCCGCGCTCCGCATGCCCGCCGGCCAGGCCGGGGCCGACCCCTCGGGCGCCGCGCGGGAGACCCCGTCGCTACGGCGACGCCGCGGGGAGGGCGCGGGGTGTGTGTGTGCGTGTCTGTGTGTGTGTGTGTCCGGCGGCCGTGTGGGCGGGGCGTCGGCGCGGCCAATGGGCGCCCGGCACAGAGGCCGCCGTCTGCGGACACGCCCCCTGGGGCAGGGCGGGGCTTGCCGGCCGGGAGTCGCTACGCGGTCGGCGCTCTGTGCGCGCTCAGTGGCGCTGTTGCTCGGCTCCGCTGCCCCGGCTGGGAAGGTGAACGGGAAGAACGTCCCCGCCTTCAGGAGGAGCCACCGGAGGACGGGAAGGTTGAGGCCGCCCCAGGACTGGCCCCGCTGCCCGCGCCCTGAAGCCAACTGGGGAGGGCGGAGGGGAAGCGGAGGTGGAAGAGGGGAAAAGCCCCCAGCTGCCCTCCCCCCACGCCTCACCCCCCCCCCCCGTACCGCCCGAGCATTGCCGGGAGGGGCATGATGGCCGTGGGAGGGTGGGGGGCCTCAGCCGGGCTTTCAGAGCGAGGCGAGGGGCCCATCAAAGGGCCTGGCTCATTTGCTTTTCCTGGCCGGGAATAGATGCTGAGCGGTCCGGAAATGCTCTCAGCTGCCCAGGTGCTGCTGCCTCAGGACAGGCAGAAGATCTGCTGCCCCCCCCCCCCAGTCCTGGCCGCTCTCCCACTGCTGCCCCCTCCCCGCATTCCCTTGGGGTTCCTGGAGCCCTGTCCAGGCTCCAACCCCAACTGGCAGCCCACCTGCACCTGCTGCCTGCAGAGAAGGAGCGGGGCCTTCAGGGGCGTCCATCTCAGGGGACATCTCAAACCTCCTGTTGAGGAATTCCCCGGAGGCGTTCTGGGCTTCACCTTTCAGACTGGGGGAGGGGGGCTGCCACTTCCCTGATCCAGCCGGAGGTCCGGTGCCACTGAGACAGGCTTGCAGCGACCCATGTGGCACAGCCATTGTTGAGCTCAGCCAGTAAGGCGGCGGTGGGGGGGGGAGTGGATAACTGGCAATGGACCCCCCCCTTAGAGCCCCAAAACTGCCTGGCTGTTTTCATTTTAGAGCAGGGGTCCCCAAACCTGGCAACTTTAAGGTTTGTGGGCTTTGTGCTGGCTGAAGAATTCTGAGAGTTGAAGTCCACTAGTCCTAAAGTTGCCAGGTTTGGAGGCCCCTGTTCTAGGGTGTGTGTGTGTGTGAGAGAGAGAGAGAGAGAGAACACAGGAACCATTTCTGCCACTGGGGGCATTTATTTGAGACCCTTTGTGTAAAGCCAAGCTCAGCTGACCACAACATCCCAAAATCAAACAACTCATGCGGAGCCTTGCTGTGCTTTGGCCTTCCTCTTCTCCTCACCTGCTGTTTGCCTTGTTGGTGAACCGTGGAAATCTTTGCGCTGAGAAGTGGCCCCTCCCTTGGCTAAGGGTCAAGGCGGCTCCCTGGGGGGGGGGGTGCCACAGCAAATAGACTCAGGGGCTGAAGCGCTGACAGGGCAGCCGGCATCTGTAGGCTTTGGAGCTGTGGTCCTGTTCCTTCTCTCTGACCTGGCCCCCAGGAGCCTCTCCAGGAGGAGATGCGGGAATCTATGATCATAAGATTCCTCCTCCTGAAAGTCCTCTTTGCCCATCAGTCTTTGGGGCAGAGAAGTTCCCCACCTTTTGCTCAGCCATCCTGGGTTACCAATGGGAGGGGCTGTGTTGACACCCCACACGAAGCAAAAGCCCCAAAGACGAGAGAATGCAGAGGCTCTGGGCTCCTTAAGGCCCCGGGGAGCTTCGGAACCAAGCCCTGCAAGCAGGTGCTCACGTGCAGCTCCGTTTGCCCCAGGATGTTCATGCTGGCATGCGCCTGCCCCCTCTCCCACCAGTCCACCAAGCAGGAAAGATTGGGGACCGCTGGCTTAAGACCACCTGTCCGCTTCTGCAACCTCCCCTTAAATGGCACAGAGTATTTCACGGGTATTCAGGTTGGGCAAGATATAAGTCCATCCCCTTTCAAGGTGTCAACTTTATCTGGACATTGCAGGCCTTCTCACTCTGCGGTGCCACAAACACCCCCTTGCGGCCCACTTGCTCCTGGGCACCAGAGGTCGGTGGTTTCGGGTCCAGCTGCTCACGAATAAAGTTATCAATCCCAGTGTGTAGCTTGGGTTCATAACCAGCCCCTGTAGTGGAGCATGGCAGGGCAGCACTCGGCTTCCGAAGGGAAGCATCTGAGCCAAAGGGCTGCATGACTCAACCGGGATGAGGCACCTGCCAAGACAATGGGGCGCCTCCTGCCTGCCGCAGCTTTTCCCCTGCCTGTTTTCATCCTGAAGCATCTCTGGGGCCCCGGCCCTCTTTCCTGTGGCTGAATGGACAGGAAGCTGGAAGGCTGTTTGGGCTGCTCCAGTGACTGCCCGTCCTGAGAGGCTCCCAAAGAAAGGAGGCAAGAGGAAGGGGGCGGGGAGGCTGTCAGTTGTCACTTTGCCCCTGTGAAATCTGCTCCCCATAAAGGCTTTTCTCTCACCCTCCAGCAAGCAAAGGCCCTTTGGTCCAGGGAGGAAGGCATCCCTGGCAGAAGAACTGCAGCGGGCAGGAGGGCCCAGCTGCATCGGCATGGCTGGTTGTAGTGTGGATCAGCCTTCCTGGTTGGAGAAACCCCCCTCCCCCCTCCAGCAGAGGAATCTGAAACTTTAAGATGCGGGAAGCATGGGGAGATTGGGACGCAGCTCAGGCAGGCATCTCTCCGATTCCCTGGAGCATAAAGGAAGGACGAGCATCATCGGGACCAGATTTACCCAGTTTTCTCCTTGTCATTGTAAACGTCGTTTCACGCTTGTGATGGAATTGGCTTCTGTTCAGGTCCACTGGGGGTGGGGCGGGGCTGCCTTTGATGCAAGCTGCATGCAAGATTAGTCTGGAGAACAGAACGATCCGGCCCACACTTGTCCCACCTGGGTCAGTCCTCTGTATTACTTTTAGATGTTTATCCTGCCTTTATTATTTTCTATCAATAGCTCAAGGCAGCAAACATACCTAATGCTCCTCCTTTCCTCTCTTTTCCCCACAACGACAATCCTGTGAGGTGGGTTGGACGGACCCAAAATCACCTAATTTTTTGTCCAACCTGGGCGACTTCAAGACTTGTGGACTTCAGCTCTCAGAATCCCTCAACCAGCATGGTTGGCTGGGGAATTCTGGGAGTTGAAGTCCACAAAGTTGCCAAGCTTGGAGGCCCCTGCTGCAGTATAGCGTGAAAAACCAGTGGGGTGCCTTTGGGGCAGTCCTTGGGATTCTTTCCTCTATGGATTCTTGAAGGCAGCCATTGTGTCTCTGTAGACCCTTTTCTCCAGACCAGGCATAACCCTTCCCCACCCATTTCTCTTCCCAGATTATCTTGATTATCTTCTCTGTAAAGGTTCCAGCTTTTCAATGTCCTTCCCAAAATGTGTGGCTCAAAGCTGATTAAACATTCTACACCGGATTCAGTTGGCTTTGTGTGCTCTGCAAAATCTGCAGTTGTGATGTTGCTAAACTGTAACTTATGGTTACAGTTTTCTGTTAATTCAGGCGCTTATGATTTATTCAGGAAATCATGATTAAACCCGCTGAGTCACAGACCTGCTCATTATTTATTGTATGACTCTGCTTGGAAACTTTGTTTGAAGCCAGTTCTGGTGATTGGCCGCAAGAGAGCAGCAGCCCCCTTCCTGAATTTTCAAATTTGATCAGGGAATTCTGGTTAAGGCAGGTTAGGGTTAGTTCTTTTACTGATCCAGCCAGAGGTTCTTATAAAATAAAGACAGTCTCCAGTTTGCAGCAGATATTTCCAAGGGCCTGATGCAACTAATCCCTCCTTTAAGGAACCCAGGGCTCTCCATATAGTCTCCAAAGGTTATAGCCGTATAGGGAAAGGAGCGTCCGAGCCTGGCGCCGGAATGAAAACAATCCGAGAATCCCAGCCGAGAAGGGAAGTAAATGCAACCTCCCTTGGATTCCCTTAAACCTTATCTAACTCCTAGCAGATGAGATGAGATTCCTGGGCATGGCCCTAATTAGCAATAAACCAGTTTAATTGGACCTGTGTGTGTGTGTGTATGTGTACCTGGCCTTTTGTGCCTGATGGGCAGGGGATTGCTCACTAAAGCAGGGGGTCTCCAAACTTGGCTACTTGAAGCCTGGCCAGCTGCTGGGGAATTCTGGGAGTTGAAGTCCACCAGGCTTAAAGTGGCCAAGGTTGGAGAGCCCTGTATTTAAGGGTAACTTAGATTTGTCTTGTTCATTGTGCTTGATGTGCCCTGAACATTTCTCCCCATCTGAGGAAGGTGTCCTTTGCAAGCTGAATTGGGGGGGAAACAGGACTTTGTCCAGATGTGTCCACAGGATGGGCCAAAACGTCAAAGCCATGACAACACCTTTGATGCTCTGCCTGTGTTTTATGTGGAAGGCATACCAGAAAAACCATAGAGCTTTGATGGCAGCGTAGGGGATGCCATCTAATTATTTTTTACAAAGGATGCGCCTGGGCTTGGATCCTCTGCCTGTCATGAAGTTGCTTCATGGCAACAGCCTCAAAGACTTGCGCAGGGTGGGGCATGGGACTATTTTCTGCAGGCATACAGCTGGAAAAGCCCCCCCATCAGTTTGGACGGGGCCACTAGGTGCCCAGTTCCTTCTGCTGGGGCCACCACAGCTGTTGGAGAGCCCAGGAGAGGAAAGATAATGGGAGAAGCAAAGCAAAGGGGGGGGGTACTCATTTGTTGGAAGTGTGTGTGTGTATGTGTGCTGCCCCTCGGCTGCTGGGGTCATTGCCACATCTTGCCTGGGGTGCATTCAGACCCTCTGCCAGCCACTGGGACTGGCAAAGGAGATCCTCAGAGCACGGCCCAGGGTCCTTCCTGCCCTGCTCTGGCTTCCAGCTTGCCCGTCTCCTTCTGGCTCCCGGGGGAACCTCCGCTCCCACCCTTGGGAAGCTAAACAGGGCCTGCTCCATTGGATGGGAGACCACCAGGAAATCCCAAGGCCGGGGCAATGAACAAAAAAGCCCTCCTGGAGAGACAACCCGCTGCGTCCCTTGGTCGCAGGGAGGTTTTCCCTGCATCTTCCAGTGTCGGCGCCTCCCCGAAACCAGGGCCGGGGTGAGGGGGGCCAGAGGACGGACGGCTTCTCCCCCCCCCCCAGGGGGGGGGGGGGGGGGGGGAGAGCACTACAATTCCCAGGATCCCTGGCGGAACAGCCCGGCCACGCCCCTCTCCCTCGCCCCTCTGTCATCACGGACCTGCACGTGGAGGAGGCGTGGCCACGGCCGCCGCGCCTGCCCATTGGCCACCGGGGGCTCCGGGGCTCGCCCGGAGAGCCAATGCGCGCGGGGGAGGGCGGGGCCTCGCGGGGCCCGGAAGCTGCTTCGGGGAAAGGGGGCGCCGCGCCTGCCGGACCCCGCAGCCTCCCTTCCTCCCGCGGGAAGCGCCCCGGACGGAGCCTCTGCCGGGAGGGCGGCGCGGAGAGGGGCGCGGGCGGCGGAGGAGCAGGGCCCGGCCTGCAGGTAAGGCGTGGGCGCCGCGGCTCCCCCGCGGCTCTGGAAGACGGGGCGCCTCCGTCCGGCCTTCCCCCGCACGGACTCCTCCCGGCTCCCCCGCTTTCCGCCCCGCTCAATCCCCGGTGGGAGGTGCCGCCGCCGCTTCCCGGGCCCTCCGGGTCGCCTGGAGGGTTGCGCGAGGGGAGGGGGTGTCAGTGAGGCGGGAGCAAAGGAAGGGGGGTCACGACCCCCAGGGAGGAGGGGCTGCCCCGAGTGCCCGCACGAGGCGGGCAAAGGTCGGGCGGGGGGGCGAATTCATGGAGGGAGGGAGGGAGTCCTCCCCGCTTCCCTTCGCGTTACCCTCCCCCCGTCCCCGAGCGAGGCTTGCCTGGGCCCACAAAGCAGCCCAGCAGCCCCCCCTCTCCCCAGCTGCTTTCTCCTTCTCGGTTCCCGGCTTGGGGAATTGGGGGCCGTTTGTCTGGGCTTCCACGGAGGCCCCTCAGGTACAAAGAAATGGGCGGGGGGGGGAGAGCTGCCCGTCTCCTGTCCTTCAGCTGGAGGTCTGCTGGAGCCGCTCAGAGTGCCAGGCGCTGCCCTGCCAGGACGTGCCTGCCCTAGGTGGGGCCATGGATGTTCCGCTTCCCCTGGAGTTTCAGGAGTGCCAGGCAGGGAGGGGGGAAGCCTGAGAATTAGGCCTTTGGGTGAGTCAGTGCGGGTGGGGTGGGGCAGGGGGTGTCGGTGGCCCTGTGGGCACTCAGTTTGGGCTGCCAGGCTTTCCAGGGTGTGTCTGCGGGGCCACAGCATTCCCTTGCTGGACAGAAGAGGGGGCGGGGGGGGAGTCAGCTTCCAGGGAGACACGCCACCTTTGCCATGGTGGTCAGCAGGATGGTGGGATGCTAGAACCACCCATTTTGGAACACCTGGTGCAGGACTGACACTCGCGAGGCTCCTGAAAGAAGGCCACAGTGGGGGAGGGAGCTTGCCTTGTCCAAGGTGGTTGGGCAGCCAGCCTCTCCTCCCCGAAATAGAAGCTTCCCCCCTCCCCCAGCACAGCTGCCCTTTAGCTCCCCCCCTTGCCGGCCTTTTGATCATCCTTCCAGATGAGCGGGAGGGGAGGGGCCTGGCCTGAATTGCAGGCCTTTTGGAAGGTGGGGGGAAGAGGCATTGGCTCTGTGGCACAAAGCAAGCACTGGCATTGTGGGCGGGGGGGGGTTGCAGAAGGGCTAGGAAGCCCCTTTCCCTGGGGGTTCTGGATGTTCCAAAGAGCCTGTTCCTATCCCCCACCCCACCCCCCACCCGAGTCCTCATTCCCTGTGGAGGAAAAGGTTGCTGCAGCTTTTCTAGACGAGGCTACCCGCTCTGGAGCCTGGTCTTCTCCCCCCTACCCATTACCTGGCAGGCCGCTGACCAACTGGGTGGGCAGATTTGCCTGCAGCAGCCTGGAGAAAGCAGGGATAGAAGAGGGCAGTTTGTCAGGTTGCCCAGAGGGCTTAACTGGGCTGGCCCTCCCAGCCTCAGTCGGCAGCAGGCCATAAGAAAGTGGGAACGGAAGCTCCCAGGGATCGGGGATCCAGGAGAGGGGGGGCTTCTGTGCCGAGTGGCAGCCGCTGCCCAGAGAAGGGGCTCCCCATCTCTCTGAAATGCCAGAAACTAAAACCGCCTTTGTGCAACTTTTGCAGGCTTCTGTTAGGGGAAGTCTGGATTTGCACACACACACACACAGAGGAACTTGCGTTTCTGCAGAAGGATAGGAAGGGGACCAGAGGTGTGGCACACAGGCAACAGCTCTGGGTACGGCTTGTCCTTCAGCCAAGTGGGGTATAATTAGCTCGGGCAGGCAGAGCTGTAACCTCTCCCACGTACATCTTTACAAGGAAGAGAAATGGCTGGGTTACTATATCCCCTTGCCACGTGACCTTGGAGCCCCTCCGAAAGCTGCCGGTGAACCCGGAGGGCAAACAGTGAAGAGCAAAAATTAAATCCAGTGCAACTTTATCGCCTGCCCGACGTGGAAGAGTTAATGTGGCCTTGGCACCTTGATTGCCGGAGTCCGGTGTCTTTCAGCCTTGGCCACAGAAGGTGGCGGAGGGACTGGCGTAGTCTTCCTCGTAGGGTTAGCTCAGAGTTTGGGCAATTTTCCCCCAAGGGGTGGAAGGGACAAGAAGGCAACTGCAGGCAGCAGTGGGGGGGGTTGCCTTTTGGACCCTGGTGGGCAGGGCAGACGCGCAGGGCAGTTGGCTTGGCCTGTTGTGGAGGAAATGCAGCTGACGAAACTTTGTACTCTCTTTCTTCCCAGCTGAATTTGCACAATTCCCCCCCCCCCCTTGAAAATGTGGTTGGCCAGTTTGTGGCAACCAGGTGAATTCGGGGAACCCAGGAGCAGTGGGTGTGCAAGCGCCCCCACCCCCAACCTTCCTGCAGTCCTTCTTCAGCATTGTTCTCCTTCCAAGCTCTGCCTTGAACCCCAACTCCCACCCTGGCCCTGCGCCTGGGGGGGGGGGGTCTTAAGGGTCCCAAACGGGGAGGCGGCTGGGGGGGCGCTCAGATTTCAGGGCATTCCCCTTGCACAAGTGCCCCCTCCTAGCGCTGGGCGTGGCCCCCCAAGGAGCCAGCTGTGGATGCCTCCGTCCTTGGGCGGGGGAGGGCCGAGCGGCTGCCTGCAGCTGCCCAAACAAAGGCAGGAGGGCAGCGCACGGAGGCTTTGGGGTGGGGGGAGTCACTATGGCAACCCTGCTAGCTTGCAAGGACAAAAGCCTGGTAGGGTGGCTGGGGGGGCAGCCCTCCCCCGAGGTCGAAGGGTTGCGACCATATGAGACCCCCGCTCAGCTGCCCCCAACTGGGCAGCCCCTCCTTCCCTGGGGCCCAAATGGGCTTCGGCCCGGTGGGTTGTCTCCTGTGCCCCCCCCCCCCCCCCCCCCGCCTGGGCCCCGCCCCAGGGGCGGCGGGGGGGGGGCGGCGGCCCCCCATTCCGGCCCCCCCCCCGTGCGATGTTGCAGAGAGACGGCGGGTGTTTCAGTGACAAAGCCCCGAAGCGGGTCCGCTCGCTCTCCTGGGCTGGGGCGCATGGGCTCTGGAGTCCAATCCAGGGGCGGGGCTGTCGGGGAAGGGGGCTGAACCCTTCGGCTCGCGCCTGTCTCGCTCCTCCGGCGAAGCCCGCGGCGGCCCCAGCGGCCTTGCCCGCCCCCCGGGGGACGGAGGGGAGGGGCGCCCAGAGATGGACTCGCGCAGAGGGGCGCCGGGCTCCCTCCGCCGCGGCTGCCAGGCCGGCCGGGCGAGGGAGGGGCGGGGCGAGGGGCGGTCCGGCGGGCGGGGCGGGGCCGGCAGCCCCCCCAACTCGGTTAGCGGTGGCGGCCGGCGGGGCGGCTGCGTCGCCATGCGAGCGAGGGGGGGGGGGGGGGGGGGGGGGGGGGGGGGGGGCGGCGGGGCTCTCGCCTGAATGGCCGGGCGGCGGGAGGGGCGCTTCTTGGCCTTCGCGGGCAGGCGGGCAAGCGGGGGAGGGGAGGGGGCGGCGGCAGCCGAGCGGCCCGGAAAGGGCTTCCACGGAGGGGGCCGCGGGGAGGGGGGCTGGTGGGGGAGGGGGGCAAGGGGCCGGGGTGTTCTCTGGCCGGAGCCCAGCTCCCTCCCTCTTTTGCGGGCCGCCTGACGTGGCCGGGGTCTGCGCGGGCTGGGGAGCTCGTTGGAGCGCCCCTCCCCTCGCAAGGCCCGAAGTCGCGATGGCGTGCAAGAGGGAGGGGGCTCGGGGGGGCTTCAGCCTCCCCCCCCCCCCCCCCCCCTTCAGTAGCCCGGAATTGTTCCCCCCCCCCCTCCGTCGCCGGCCTCGAGAGAGCCCGCTAGCCCCGAGCAGCAGCGGCTGGGACGGCTGAAGGTTGCTTCCTCCTCCCCTTCTGCAGTCTGGACTTTGGGCCCTCCTGTCCTGGGGGAGGGGAGGGGACGGGCCGGCCAGGGTTGCAGGACGCTTCCCCCCCCCCCCCCCCTCCCCCAAGGGCCCCCTCCGCCCCCCCGGGGGGGCCCCCCCCCCCGGGCCCCCCGGGGGGGGGGGGGGGGCAGTCCCAGAGCTGCCAGTGCCACGCTGGGGGTGGGGGTGGGGTTGGCTTGGTAACTGCTTTTCTCGGGCAGGGTCTGCAGAGGGCCTTCCCCCTCCCCTCAGCCCAAGAGAAGGGGTCATGCCCCATCCCCTTTGCCCTCAATACCCCCCCCCCCAAATTCCTTTGAATAGCTGCCCCTGAGATGATAGCCAGGTGGGAGGGGGGCCCCCTTAGGGGACTTGGTCCCCCCCCCCCCCCCCAGCAATTTTCTTGCTCCTCCTTCAGGGACAGTCTAGAGCCCCTTTGCCCCCACCTCCTTTGGCCGGGTTTAGCTGAGCTGGCCTTCCTCTGGCTCTCCAAGGAACTTTGACCACCAGCTCTCCCCCCCTCCCTCCCCCAGGCCTGGCCTGTCTGCTAGGGTCTCTTCCTGGGTCTGTGGGCTGTAAAATCATCTGTTCTTGGGGGTGGGTGCCTGAGCCCCCTTCCTCTGTGCCTGTCTCCCCATATGTGCTTTCTGCCCCTTGGTGCCCGGGTGGGGGGGGGCACTTGTCACGCCTCGAGCCCCTCAGTCTGGCTCCCAGAAGCCCCCCCCCCCCCCCTATCTGCTGATGCCGGGGGTTGAGGCTCCAGCAGCTCCTGGCTTGTTCTGGAAGCGCTTGGCCAACCCTTCCCGCCTGTGGCATTCCTGGTGGCAGCCCAGCTGTAGGTGAGTCAGCTGGCCGGCAGGCAGGCAGGGAGAAGGCCTGGCTGGTACAGAAGCCTTGCGTCAGCAGGCAAGCAGGAACCGCCAGCCCTGCCCCCTCCCCCCCACGCCGGGCTGGGCAGAGAGGCCCCGGGCGGAAGCCTTGCCTTCGGTTGGCAGCGGCCGGGTTAAGAGAGCTCTGGCGGTGGTGCCCCTGTCCGAGCCATGCCAAGCCCAGCACTGGGATCTGGGTGGGGCCCTGCTGGGTTGGGACAGGGGAGGGGAGGGGGCTGCTCTGCCTGGGCAGACCCTGGCACCCA